TACTAACTATGTTAGTAAAAAGTATAAGAGTGTTTTCGTGTTTATATTCGTATAATTAGTGTTCAACTTTTTACTGTTCTCGTCCAAAACATTAAATATGTCATTTTAATTAACGAAAAGTTCTTTTATCAGCTTTTGACGACAAATTCTTATCTAATCATTTTAAACTCTTACTTCATTTCTTTATCATCTTCTCTGCCACCAGTCGTTCGTAGATTTGACAAGTTGGAAGTATACTAAATCGAATTTCTAGAAAAATGGCATATAAACTCTTCTATTTTAATATTACTGCGCTTGGGGAGCCCATTCGTTTCCTTTTGAATTATGGAAATATCAAATTTGAAGATGTTAGAATTGAAGCAGCTGATTGGCCTAAATTTAAGCCTTGTAAGATGTTTTTAAAAATGACAAAAAAGTTTCATCAACTAAATTACGCAACTTTACTACTTGCAAATTTAAATTTTCTCTTTTTTATCAGTAATGCCATTGGGTCAAGGTCCTGTTCTTGAAGTTGATGGTAAAAAACTTCACCAATCAACTGCAATTTGTCGATTCTTAGCAACTAAGATGGGACTTGCAGGGTCAAATGAGATGGAAAATTATGAAATTGATAGTGCTGTTGAAACAGTTAATGACTTGAGAGCAAGTAAGTATACCTTTGTTTCGAAGAATATTATTATTTAATTAATGTTATGTTTAATTGGTAGAAATTGCAGCAGTTCATTATGAGCCAAATGCGAAAATCCAAGAAGAAAAACGAAAAAATCTTAATTCTGAAACTATTCCTTTTTATCTTAAAAAATTGGAAGAAATGGCTAAAGAAAATCAAGGTCACCTTGCTTTGAAACGTCGTACATGGGCTGATCTTTATTTTGTGGCCTTGGGAAGTTATATGAACTATATGGCAAAGATGGATTTATTTACATCTAAGCATCCATACTTGCAAGAGGTATCGATTAATGTTTTTGCTATAAGCAGCATTAAAAAATGGATTGACACCAGGCCAAAAACTGAGTTTTAAAATGTTATGAAAACTGGAGAAAGTATACAAATAAATTGGATTCTACACTTAGAAATTCAATCAAATCGTTTTTTCTAAGAATAAAATTAAAAATATTTTCTATACATCCAAATAGGTTTTATCATGAAATGTATTCATATTATTTAACGGTTCTTTTTTCAAACGTATTTGACCGGTTATTCCAAAATATAAATTGTAGAGATTTTTCTTGCTAATAAATGTTTACATACCTACTTAGAAAGAGAATTAGATTTTACAAAGATTTTAATTTTAAACATATTAAAGTTGTAATGATGATAGTTTTGGTATTGAAAAGTTCATCGATTGTAAGTTAATTTTAACATAATAGTAAGCAGATACTTGATCTGTTGATATTATGCACAAATAAATACAAAGAACATTTCTAGAACAATCATTCTTAAAATTTGAAAAGCAAAATATAAATATATGACACGGTTTAAATTTACATTACTTAAATAGAATCATTTGAGTTGATGCTTTAAAAATAATATCGACCTACAATGAGGTATCATTAAAAAAATTCTAGAAAAATTCGGAAAAAATTTTTAGAAGAATTATGAAAAAAAAAGATTGAAAAAATCCTAAAATCTAAATTCTTTCTTCATTTTTAGAATCAGTATTTTCGTTACAACTTAAATTTGGATAATTCCTTACTGCTGGAATCATATTTTTGAAAAAATAATACACCATTTTCTAAAAAGTTTGAAAACGACCTTCAGTCAACAGAGAATTCAGCGTAGATTACCAAACTCGAATTAATCCAGAATAATGATAGGACCGAGTTCATCAATAAGCAAATTACTCTTAACACTCTTGATTGTTCTTATTTGCTTCTTCGTGTATCTTGATATTCATCTTTACTTACGCATCCAAAACTATCCGATAGATAGAAATATTCACAGAAATGGAACATTGAATATGCAAATACTCTCATCAACTCCTATTACACTCATAGTTAACTATAGCGATGTCACTTGGGTTAATTGTCATATAAACCCTCTTTGCGACGTGACAGTTAAAGCATTGATGTTAGATCACACAAATCACTATATATTTGCTCCAATGGCGACACTTTTTGATGACCTCGTTGGATTCAGCAAATCAAATTTTATTACTCCAAATATGATATCATTCTTTCACGTTTTTGTTGCTATTCTTGCCGGGAGATTAATAGCTCTAGACAGTTTGGGCTATCGTCGATTAGGAGTCGTTCTATTCCAATTTCGAACATTTTTGGATGATCTTGACGGACATGTAGCTAGAGTTAAAAGACATATTCGTGGAGAGAGAAGTGAAATTGGAACAACGGGTTATTATGTTGATGGCATTTGCGATGGCTTCGGTTGCATTGCTCTCATGATCGGCGTTTTCGTCTTTTTGAAGAATAACGTAAGTTAAATATTCGCGTAGATAAATTGGAGAAAAATTTCCAGCCTTCTTTATTGCTGAACCTACATAAATGTCACTAATTATTTTTTTATGTAATGTTTTCAGCCTCCTCGAAGAGGATATACCCAACTGCAACCAATCATTCCTATAGCTGATCCTAAATCTTCTGAATCTGGTGTCATTTACAAAGCGAAAGTCACAACAAAAAAAGTGTCACGAAAAGTGGGATACTTTACAGCGCAACTTCTTTGCAGCTCAACAGCTTGGAACCGCTACATTGCATATTATCAAGACATTCTCGAGAAAAACGACGTAACGCCAGCGCAGTTTGTTCGTCAAAACTATGTGATGAAATCAACATGGTTCTTTGCTATCATTTGGCTTTGGCGCATCATCAATGTTCATGCACTTCTGCATTTTTTGCTTCTAAGCATTTTCTGTGATAAATTATGGGATTATCTTAAAATGACGCAGTACATTTGTTTTGTTTTTCTTCTAACAATTGTATGTGCCACTGAGTTACACCTATGGGAAGCACAAAACTTTGTCTTCAAAACATTAGTTGTCGCTAATTTAGGAGGGTGATCAAATTGATAGAACACTAAGAATGATATCGTAAAACATGAAATTTTGAATCTGCAACAAAAGTTATCAATTCTCATAAATTGTTAAGGGACAAAGTCATTTGTTTTCTCTTTGTTACTATTTTTAACTAAACCAGACACTAACTTTTGTGTTTCTCAGTCTCGAATTTTTTAATCTCAATTAAATATTAAATCCTTATGATTACTAATCGTTCTTATTGCCATAATTTCCATAGATGAAAATGAATCAATGTGTTTGGATTAGCTTGTATGCAATAACGTGTTTAGTAGTTAGATGACATGATCAATAACAATAGTCAAATGTTTTATAAATTGATATTATGACGACAATCTAAGTGAAATAAAATATGCGAGAATATAAATTTCGATGACTTTGAATGTTCCTTTTATAAGATATTTTCATGATTAAAAATGTGCGAAATGATTTTTTCACAAAGCATGATTCATGTTAATTATACTATTGTATTCACAAATCATTTTAACTATTTAGAGAATATTAAAAAATATTTAAATATTTTTATTCAACTGGACTTTGGAATTCTATTAAGGGATCAAATGACTTGAGGTTATACTCGGATATGACGAATTTGGTCGTTCATCCTACTTTCAAAAGATGCTTAAATTAGAAGGAGAAAATTATCATAAATTATTTTCGTTATTGAAAAGTTTACATAGAGTAATTCAGGTGCTTTCCTTAATTTTTTTATAAGCAGATGTGTCTGCACGTTGATCTGTAATGCCGAAATTCTTGGCCTAAATGTGATATTTACAAAAAATAAGTATGTGGAAATAGGTGAAGTAATTTGAATTTCCATTTATAAATATGATTAAAATACATAAAAGTTGAGAGGTATTTAAACACTTAAATAGTTGTTACTTCATTTTCATTATAATAATTGTCTTTAGAAGTTTGAAAGTAAAAAGCTATGGTAAGGAAAATAATTTGAGCAGTTCTTTTTCGTTTAAGAATTTTACACTACATGCTTTTCTTTAGTTTAACGTTTTTTCCAAGGTTTTTTCAATTACATTAATTTTGATTGAAATTAACGCTCAAATGTGCCAGGAATTACCAAAAACAGTTGCGACATCAATAACCTCTTCCCCAGTTATTGTACAGGCAAAACTAACCGTCCTCGAAAATGAAAACGCAAATGAAAATTCATTGTACTTAATGCCAGGAACAAACGGCGAAAAAGTAGGAATAATCGTTAGAAGGAGGGATCACAAAATGGATGAAAGAATTAAAACGGAGAAATCTGATTCTCCAATTTAATAATAAAAAATAGAAAAAAAGTTCCTATTTATCTTTTTCGTTTAGAAACTTTTTACAATAATATCTGCTTGTTTTCGTAAGGTTTCAATACAAAAATCAGATTTTTTTTCGATTGGAAATATATCTTTGGAAACTTTAGCGGTCACAATGTTTCGCAAGAACATTTCTGATAGAAATGTTTTCGAATGTTTCATTGTTTCAAAGCCTATATTCGCTCTCCATACTCACCGTCAACAAAACTCTCGCAACAATTGCTTATTCACGTTTTCTTTTTTAAAGCAATATTATTATTTCATACATTTCTGTGAGTGACTTTGATCGGTTAGGTCGAGATATTTTTTTAGTTAAAGTTATTAGATTATTCTGGAATTTCCCTAGATAATAAGTTTCATCGAAATATTCCAAATGTTTAGAATAATACCAAATTGCAAAATAAATCACTTAAAGCTCTAGTAGGTTTGAATTGAATTTTTATTTTTAAGCATAAAAGAAAAAAAAAAGAAATCAGCTTAGAGCTTAGTGGCAAGAGTTTATGTGTGTTAGTGGCATATGTGTATGTACATTACAAGAAGAATCCAACACACAAAGTAAAGTTAGTTTTTTACTTAAAAACATTGTTGATAGAGTACACAAACAAAACATGATTTGTAAATTATTAAATAATGTCTGATTCAACTGAAGGATTATAAGCTTAAAAATACTCATGTTTATACCTTAGTGTGAGAAGTAAATTTCTAAATAAGTTCTACAAGATCGTATAATTTAATTTTGGATTAGATTATTTTCTATAATCAATTCATCAAGGTAAGTTCTTTAACTCAAATCTATTTGTATTATTAAAACTTTATTAAAATAGGAAATCCAAGTTTCTGACATGTTTTTAAATAAGTTAAAAAATCACAACTTCACCGTATTAGCTACTGAATCCGAAGAGACCCTCTTAAAAACTTTTAATAAAGTTAAATCAAATAAGAGAATTAAATTTTAATTTAGGATCTTTAAGTGATTACTTTAACTTTATGCTAAAAGCAGTGTCTTGGAATTATTTTATACAAAAACGCCCTGACAACGAGGAGAATAGAATTTATGGTTTAAACTCAAATTCAAATTCAATGGTTAAGTTTTGAAAAATTTCGCTTCAATTTATGAAACGAAAATCTGTTTACAAACACAAATTATTAAAAATTGTATGAGTCATCATAATGTGTTCACTGTGGTTGTTTTCATAGATTTAGATGTGTATTTAGTACAAATTTATGAGTACTACCTAGGTATGCCTCTAAAGTAAATATTAATTTTATGAAGAGTTAAGGGAGCATTTGGAAATTACGTTTGTTTCAAAACTGTTTTTCCCTTTCGAATAAACGTAAATAAATGATTGCTTCAAATTTGAATTCACTCCTACTTCAAAAGAATTTTTGATATTTTGTCACGGCATATCCGAAATGAATAAAAGAAAAGATGTTGCAATATTAAGTTTCTTGTGCAAGAAAGAAAAGCTAGGTAGCATTAATATTTTGCTTTCATATTATTTTTAAGCAACACAGACACATTTAAGAGTAGGCAGTGAAATCGGAAAAAGTTGTAATACCTAACACTTGACTCAATAAAATTAAACAATAAGAAGTAGTTTAATCTAGCTAAATATTTAGTTTTAGAAATATTAATACCATAACATGAACATTAAATTAAGTTATCTATCTTACTTAAAAAAGTATATTTCAACTTCAAACATTTCAGAAATCATTAAAAGTGAATTATTGGAACCTATTGAGCATAAGTTTGTAACGCGAACATGAAATAAATTTTTGCATGATTGAATAAATATAAATTACATCAATATTTTGGAATACTCGCACTGTCCATTCAAATGGAAAAATTTAACAATTTTCTATTTTAATATTTTATTTTTCCAAATTTCATTTAATTTCATATTATCTACTAATAAAACTAATAATTTAGGTAGTTATATTTTATTTCTATCTCATTGATCGATCTATCCAGATGTATTCTGATATTGAATAAAAAAGCAGAAGCTTTGGTCAAGGCTTGCATCCACTCAAAATCTTCATAGATATTCTTTAAACCCATTAAACATAGTCATGAATCATAAGATAAAATTCAGGATTTTTCAATAGAAATGAAAAGTCACTTCCATGACTAATGACAGATTATACTCTGATACAAATTTAGAATACCAAAATCATCTTCAATTAATTGTTGACCATAAATAAAAAAAAATTTTGATTATTTTTATTATTAGATTAAATTTATTAGA